TATTCTAAAGACAAAAAGAACTGCAGTGATATTTTAAACTTCCCTGGGCAGTTCTATTTTTTGACAACAGTTTTGAAATTACGATTTCAAAGCTATTATAGGATAAAGCAAATAAGTAAATTTGCTAAAGTAAGTTTACTAATGTTTTTAGGAAGCATGATTTTATTCTAAGAGAAAATGTATGCAAACATAAAAACAAAAATGATAGGGGAGAACCTATAATGTTAAATTTAGATTGGAAATATCAGTATAAATTCATGGTTTTTAAAAAAATATAAGCTCTAACCACTAAAAGGTCCTCAAGCAATGACACCTCAAGGACAATGAGCACATCTGGGGCCCTAATGTTGGTTTCTAAGTTGTTTCCCAGTAAGTTCTAGGGTTCCTGAGAGAAATGGCTGATTTTAGATTTGGTGCAAGGAAAGTCCAAGGTGAGCCTGGGACACTTGTGTTACAGAAAGCCAGGAATTACTCAAAGACTAATGGAGTCATGTCAAAAGTCACAAATAGCAGATGGAGAGAGCTCCTGCTGACCAAACTTGGGATAATTTGAGCATCAAATGGAATAATGACTTTGATTATCTGTCATATGTTAAATAAATAAAAACCTGAGTGCAGAATGATACTAGATAGATCGATGGAGAGACAGATGCCATTTGCTATACCATCGGCAGCATTATACCAGCCTCCTGTGAAGTAACTGATTCAGGAAATGGTTTTACCTGAAACGCTTAGGTGACAGTTACAGGGTAAGAGGCTATTCCCAGCATCACAAAATATTCCCCACCTATTAATTGGTTATTATGAAAGGAAATGCCTTTATGATGGAGGTATCTGGAGGAACCACCTGACTTGATGACCAAAGTCGGTAGCGTTAATAGTGGAATGGGACATCACTGTCTTCTGATGTGATGGGATATGAGGTACAAAGACTTGTTTTTAAGAGATATTTAGAAAATATGGCAAAATGTAATGATCGTTGAATCTAGATGGCAGTATAAAGGTGATCACTGTACCAGTCCTTCAACCCTTCTGCATTTTTAAACTATTTCATGGTAAATTAGGGAAGAATGATTCCATGGCTATGTATTTTTTGGAAATACTTGGAAGGATACCAAGGACAAATTGTCGAATTTAAAATACAGGTTAGAAAATAAGTAATTATTTATGTTTGTAAAATGTGTATAATACACATACTGAAAAATTAACATATTTGCACACCTATGTTCATAGCAGCACTGTTCATGATAGCCAAAAGGTAGAAACAACCCAAGTGTCCATCCATGGATGAATGGATAAACAAAATATGGTATGTACATTCAATGGAATATTAGTTAGCTTTACAAAGGAAGGGAATTCTGACACATGCTACACCATGGATGAATCTTGAGGACATTATGTTAAGGGAAATAGCCCAGGTACAAAAAGATAAATACTGTATGATTCCACTTAGGTGAGGTCCCTAAAGTAGTCAAGCTCATAGAGACAGAAAGCAGAACAGTGGCTGCCAGCAGCCGAGGGAGGGAGAAATGCGGAGCTGTTTAATGGGTAGAGAGTTTCAGTTTTGCAAGATGAGAGTTACGGAGATTGTTTGTGGAAAAATGTGAACATACTTAACACTATTACTGCATGCTTAAAAATGGTTAAGATGGTAGATTTTATGTTATGTATACTTTACCACAAATAAGAATAAAAATGAAAATGAAAAAATCAATCAACATTCACAGAGTTGTTATTTTTCTAAATTAGAGTTTCCAGTTTTAGGAAAACAGATTTTTAGGAAACAAGAGAAAATGTCCACGCAGCCTGAGAATTTTGTCAAAAGTCACAAAAATCCTTTGTCCCACGAGGTGAGAGGCAAAATGGCGTGCAGGCACCTCCTCTGCATCAGGGTTGCCATGGTGAGCTTGGCCTGCTGACCCTTGGCCCCACCCTGAGACTGGGCGGCAGGGGCCTCCCAGGGTTGATGCTTTGCTTGGTGTCTGGCCAGCAAGGAGGCGAAGTTTGCAGGCTCTTGTTGACCCAGAGCTGGCCTGCCTGCCTCGTCCGTCACACCCATTCCAACCCCTCACCTTGCCTGCCTGCACCCCAGGGGTGAGGTTTGTGACTCCTGTCCTCACAGCTTCCTCCACTTCAGAGCCAGGCTTTGATCTCGCCTCCCAGGATCCGGTTTCTGTTGAAGTGCATCAGTCCTTTGGGTCTACGGGTTATTACCCGCACAGCATCCCAGGCAGATGACTCATTTCAACCCTGGCTGATCTCTGCGTTTTGACCTTCTGGCTCCTGGGGCTCTAGGCCCTTTATCCTAGTTGTGATGGAGAACCTAAATCTTGACCATGAATGTGTTTGCATAAACACATAAGCCACTACAGTGTCATGAAAATCTTTACCAAAACTTCGAATGGAGCAGTATTAGCATTTGTATCCATATGGGATTTTGAAAAAAATGATTTATGTAGTTCTATTTTGTTTCCCATTTATTTCTGTGTTACTTAAGGCACTGTCAACATAACCTCAGTATCAGACGATGCTCTCTCTTTTTTTTCAAATTAAATATTTTGCAAACTTAGAAAAGTACAGAGAGCACCGTAACAGACACCTGTGTTCAGACCACCCAGAACTGACCAATGTTAACACTTTTTAGTGATTGTTTCAAGTCTAGAATTCTCATTTTGAAATTAAAACTTTGTTCTCTGTGTGGACAGAGCTGGCCTCAGGAAAACAGTGAGGTTAGCTGAGCTCCTTTCCTGCTGTCCCCTTCCCTTCCCGGGCAGGTGACCGACCAGGCATCGGTGGCCCTTGGTTCTGCAGTGGGCCACGTGGTGCCTCTCCCAGGACAGCTGAGGTGACAGCTGTTCCCTGGGGCCCTATATGGAACAGTGGAGTCCTCAACTGTATTAGAAACAAGTCCTGGTTATGAGTCACACAAAAAGTTCCAAGCAGAAAAAGGAAAGTTTGTCAGAATAAAGGAAACTTATCATAACTCTGCAGGTGGATGTGTGGGCACCGGGCCTCAGAGAGGCAATGCATCCAGGAAATGAACAGCTGCTGGAATCATGGCTTGCTGCTTCTCTCTGCTTCATTCTTTACTCGTATTCAGTTCACATGTTGGAAATTAGCCTCCCACGGCTTCTGCATTTACATATGACATGTCCAGCCACAGGAAGTGACTGACTAGCAGATCTTCAGTGGCAATTCCACATGTCTGAGTCAGAGACTCTGACTGCTCCCCTACCCCGGGTCAGATGTCCCCTTCTGGTCCAGAAAGCTCTGCAGCGCTGCCAAGAGTGGCCAGGTCAAGGACGTGAACACAGCTGCCAGGCGCTCACTTCTGTGATCCTGTGGATTTGAGGGCTGAGTTTCAAGAAGGAAACCTCCCTGT